AATGGACACTTTTCTAGAAAACTATCAAGTGACCAAAACTTATTCTGGAAGCATTAGTATATCTAAATAAATGAATAACTGTTAATGATCCAGAATCAAAAGGCAAAAAAATTCCATCAGCAATACCAAAGAATATCAGACTCAGCTTCACACTTTTAATCAAAGGATCCCTTTACAAAAAGCTTGCCAGAATGGAAAAAGCAGAAAACGAAAACTATTCAGTTATTTCATGTGGCTAGGGTAATACTGCTTTTAAAATCAGAAAGAAAAATACCTAGAGAAAAGTGCAATACCTATCACACTTTTGTTCATAAATGCAAAAAACATACACTAAACTATAGCAATCAAATTCAGCAGTCTTGAAAAGAAAGTAAGAAATCTGCTCTGCTGTTCAGTATGTCAAAATATTAAATGGGAGTAGTGGGTATTCACCAAAATTCTTTTGGGAAAAGTTTTGATAAGATTTAACATTCAAAATAGGAAAATTAAAGGAAACAGTGTCCTTAAACCTGATACAAGAATCTACCAAAAACTCTACAATAAAACTTAAATATTGGGATAAATTATTAAAAGTGGGTTCCTGAAAAATCATAACCAACGTAAGGATGCTCACCATCACTTTTCCTATTTCCATACTGCACTGGAGCTTCTAACCAGATGGAGAAGAAAAGAAAGTGTATGGAGAAACTGTAATGGGACAAAACTATCATAATTTGTATATGATATAACTGTTGTTATAAAAAAAAATGCAAGGGACTCTACAGAATGAATTAAGAGCGTTCATCAGGACTGACAATCTGTATCTATATAAATATAGGTGTAGGATCAACATAAAAAATCAGTAATGTTCCTACACATCAAACCAATTAGAAATAGAGTAGAAAAGCCATTCATCATAGCAAGAAAAACTGTAAGATGCCTTGTAATAAATTACATATACAAGACTTTTACATAGAAATAAAGTAAACTATTATTAAGGGACTCCACCCATGAGAAAAAAAAAGCCTTTGTAAATGAAGATGTACCATATTTGTGGAAGAGAAGATTCAAAAGCACAGAGATGTCAGCTCTCTGCAAATTAATCTACAAATCCAACGTAACTGGCATATACCAGGAAGGGGTGTGGGGAATGGGGGGCCTGCCTATCAGTTATCAAGACCAGTTAAAAGAGATGTGACATAATTTTGTTGTTTAGTTTTCTGGCTTTAATACAGGCATGAAACTACTTACTTCAGTGATCAGCATATTCCTTAGTTTAGCCTCACAGATAGTGATTATTTCCTCCAACTATTTGACAGGAGCTGATTATAGAAGATTCTGGACTGGGATCCCTGGGAAGTGCTGTTAAAAAAGACATGCCTATGCTTTAAATATCCTTAATGTTGATCACTTAAAGGGTGTCAGATGATCAGCTATGGAGGTACTCTTTTCTGATAAAATTCCTTTCTCTTAATTAAAAAAAAAAAAAAAGCAGTTACTGTGTGCTGACCTCCAATGAGTTCTGCACAATGGTATAGAGGGCATGTCAAAGTGTGGGCAAAGGGTCTCTTTGTTTCTATGCAGAAGATCAAGGCCTAGCTTGGATACCCAGAAAATGAACTAAGATACGATATGAGGAGGAGCTTCCGGCATCAGCACTCTCTGGAGGACT